TTCTCCAGCTCCAGTCCTTGTAGTTCTGTTGCGACGTCATCTGCTGTGGAGTCTCCCATAATTCCTTTCAAGACGATGGACTTAGGTCTTAGAGACTTGGGAGTGTACGTATAGTATTGGCAGTTCGCCAGTTTTAATACTTCAATTATAGCTGTGAAGTTTTCGATAGCGAAAGTTAAGATAACCACTTCTCCTGGTTCATTGGTCTGTCTTATTTGAAATGATCCTTTTGGAAACTTATTATCCAGCAAGAGTGAGATAATGTTATTGAGTTTCACGTTCACTACGTTTATTGGGGGAGGTTTTGGCACTTTGGGGGCTATTCCTGTCGAGGAACGTTAGGCGGGCTCTTGAGGAGTTGGCCCTTCGGAACAGTCTTCATTTGTGAGGTCCATCTCTAGGCTGGAGAAGCTGTTGTCATGGGGAGGGATTTCCTCCGCTTGACGAGCACTGTCGTCTGTAATTTTGGCCTTGATCGCTTTCCTTCGTGGTGGGAACTCCCAGGGAGCTTGAGTGTGATCGCCTGTGTTGGATGCATCATCTGTGCTAGTGGTCGCAAGCATTGAGATATCAGAGAGTGACTTATTGGTCCTGCTGTTTTTCAGGTTTGGAGCCGCGTTGAGGTTAGGGCGTTGTATACCATATTCTTTATGAAATTCTCGGAAGTTGCGAGCGAATTCACGAGTTGATAGAGTGTTCGAATTTGTCTTCTGTTGCTTCACTGCAATGTTACTCCTATTGTCAATAGCGGATTTCCGCTTGACTTAAGTGTTTAGGGTCTGTGGGGATGACACGTTTCGTCCTTTGCTAGGTCTCATAGTTGGGAAATGAGACACATGATGTGCCCCACCACTCACCGGAGTCACCTGCTTCCTCTTGGTGAAGGATTGGATAGTTGGGTTATTGCACGGGCTGGTATTAATTATTTGAAAATGAAAATGACAAAATTATGTTGTTTGAGGTTATCTGGTGTATCTGTATCGGCTGTTCAGTCGGTACTCGAGTCTCTATGGAACCCGCCTGGGGAAGGCATACCGTATGATTTGGACATCAGGCCTTGATCCGGTTTGAATATCGCATGCCGTGCCAGGTAATTGTCAGTCATACCGGATCAGGTATTGCCATGGTGGAAGTGTGGCATGCCTGAGTACGGCAAACCACAGGTATACCTTATCAGGCTCAACAAAGGCTAGAGCATGGCATGCCGGGGTACGGCAAAGCACAGGTATACCTCATCAGGTCCAACCAAGGCTGAAGCATGGCATTCCGTATAAGAAATCCGTCACGCCGGATCAGGTCTTACTCAGGTCAAGACATTGCATACCGGAGTACGGTGAACCTGAGGCATACCTGATCCGGTTCAGATAAGGTTGCAATAAGGCATGCCGGATGTCAAGGTAGAATAATAATAATAATCATACGATCATTATTATTTGATAATGTTTTTTCACAAATAATGAGAATTATAATCATTATGTTTTTCAATATAATAATTATTATTGAATTGTTATTAATAATAATGATTACTGAAATAATTGATTATAAATTATTATTAAATAAATTATCAATGAATCAGCTTCGATGAAGGAAAAGAAGCAATAATATATTTTTCAAACTATGAAAATGAGCACGTATCGGCTTATATTGCCCATAAAATTACGGGTATCCAACAATTGCAGCGTAGCAGACCAGGACACATGGGACATCAGCGATCGTCGAAGCTAAGGAATATCAAACTGGGATAGTAACTGGATGGCTGACCAAGTGCGACAAGACCTAAGTTCGAAACCCGTGGGAACCATTTTTTTTCTTTTCTTTTTTTATTAATTCGCATTTGTGGACCGTTGGTATAGTCCGTCATGGTGTACACATCGCTATAAATCGATAATGAAAGAATTATTCAAACAATTATTAATTTATTGGATAAGGCAAATTCATATTTGCCGGAATGGGACCTTAAAAGGTTGCCTTATCAGGTCCAGGGTGAATCAACTTGATGGGGCCCGGGCTTGACAATGCGTTTCACTCCGGTTAAGGTCCTGATGTGCCAAGTCCTAGGTAACCGGACAAGGACCTGACTTTTGAAATCAGGCAACCTTATTCGTACCTGATGTGACACCTATTTATTTTTCTAGTCGGGATGTGTAATGGACCCGAGCGGACGGGTTCGTTGATAGAGATAGGTCACTCGTAGATAATTGGAAATCAATATCTCTTAGGGAGTGTGATATCCATAAATTATTTAAAAATTCAGGCCACTTTCAACATTTGAAAAAATTTACCGACGCATTGGATTTCGAAATTGTCTTTCGACAATTCCGAAATCACTCTAAATAACTGGGGCTACTTAAAATCCGAAAAAATACAATACGAAAGTAGAACAATAATCAGCGAAAATTCGACAGTGTGACAAAATATCACACCTCGAATTTTCGCCATCAACCATTCCACTCAATCAGCTAACGCCCTAAATTCAAACTATAAAAATCAAATTATGAACGATTAATCTTCAGTCGCGAAAAAATCGTGGAACCCTACGGTTCTCTTTCTTTGGAGCTTTAAATTCGAGTCACGTTAATCTTTTTAAATCAGACTAGCGTCACGGCACCGATAAAACAGCATCTTTTTGAATTACGGCGGTTAGCTAAATCATCTTCCCCGTAACATCGATATTTCTCGGTTAACTGATCGTCGCTTGAGATCCGTAAAATTACTGACATTTTTTAAATTTTCTCCATCTCCTTTTTAAATCACATCTTTTGATACATTTTAACGTGTGATTTCTCCTTTCTTTCTAAATCTGAAACGCAAATTTTAGAAATTCCGTCGGCTTTAAAATTGTAAAACCGATCGTGTGTGTTATTACTCTGTGAGGCCGAAAAACATTGAAGCCCCCTGTACTTTTCAACAAATTCCGATGCCCAGAGGACGCAAAAGAGCACCTCTGGTTAAATAAAAAATTGTAACTACACAACAAGCAATTGTAAGTAACTTCAAATATTATTTTAAATCCCATTTTCACAGTTATAACTTTGAATTATATAGAATTAGATAAAAGATCACTCAGAATTGTCAAGAATCACATTTTATAAAAAGGAATATTAATCTCAAGTTGTACAAAAATCGGCATAGATAAACATTCTTAATAGACATTGAAAATCTAGTTTAAAGTGTCAGAAGTCCCCTTCTTTCCCAAAAATGTTAATTCATTCTTTCAGAAATAAAAGGAATATAAAGACTATCATCGCATCTACAGGGGATAACTTCGACAAACTATTCGGGAACGAGTCCATGAGCACCACTCCAACTCAAATTATTTTTATTACCGTTAATTCAGAGGCATTTTTATTTTTAACAGTAAATAACGTGGTGTCCCGACCACTAGTCCCGGACATAACAGGACAATCAATTCCTTTAGTAATCAAACGATTTTATTTGAATAAATAAAGTCTTTGTCTGATCCTGTAGGTATCAGGCATTATAAGTTGCAAGAAGGTGACTTAAAGAATCGTCGTATTACTAATTGACTGTGTCTGACAAACTGACTAACTGACCCAGTGGCAACGAATTCACGAGTTTATATTTCATTGTGGATTCGATTACAACATGTCTTTTCTCTTTGTTTGACACCTGGAGGGATCGCGCGACGTCCCAGGTGCCGTAGCCGTTGACGGCGTGAAGTGCCGATGCTGCACCACAGTGATCCACATTATGACGAATATACGTGCATTTAATCCACAAATATTCGGGTTAATTTATATTTTAACATTAACATTCCTTTACTCGACATTATATGTTTTGAATAATATGTGCCACTTCGCGTGTCCTCATATTATCTGGATAAGTGAGAAATTACTTAATTCTATTTCATAATTAATTATATTTCTGGGGCATAACAAATGATTCAAAGACAAAATTTACTTGTAGCTTTCCTTTATTCCATCAGGAAATGGATCATTTCCGTTTTCCTGTATAGAAGGTCGAGTTATAGAATATACAATTTGACGTCCCTCTTCAAGTCCACTTTTTAATTATTTTGAACGAGAGAGAAAGAGAGACGTACGTATGAGAGTTAACCAGAAATTTCTCCCGAGTTAATTTCCGGATGATACAAGAAGGCTTATTCTTCCGCGTACCCAATTGTGGTTCTTATCAATTCTGATTTTTTTAATTTACAAATGGCTCATCTCTATTATGAGGGTTTCCTACTTTTACGCTCAAAAGCTGGCTAATCCTTATAGACGTCTAACAGATGTTCTATCACTGGGTATGTTTTGCCCGTCGGGCGTTGAGTATGGTTCGTCGAGATACCCAATCACTCTCCATTTTTATCATGTAATTGTGCTGCCCTTTTTTTATTTTCAACTGTTCGCTAATCATCTTACATCTGTTGCAATATAAGGCAATTGCTATTTTCGAATTGAGTCCAACGACTGGCCGCACGGGTATGGTAATCTCCCAAACACAACAGATCACAATGATGAATGTAATTGTTGGTTTGAATACGTTATTGCAATCTATACCGTTCGAAATCTCACTGTTTACCACACGGATTTCCCAAGACTAAGGAAAACACAGATGGTATAGTTTTCGCTGGAGAAAAGTCACAGGTGCCACGGTGTGATTATCTTCACGCGAAAACAGTTAATGTAGACTCTCATGCGATGTTATGTTATGTCCGAACCTTTTCCATGATGATTAGTCAGCTATTGAGAACACATGTGCAAGATGATGACGTTGTAGACGACAGTGAGTGTAAGTATATAGTCACACTTCACTTGTCAGCTTCCCACATCCAAAAGCTGAATCGCGACCTATCTATGTGACACACAGTTTCGGATGATTGTGTGAAGTTTGAAGATGATCCGTTAATACTTCAACTATTTCCAAAACGTCCCGGTTATATTTCTGCTCCTTTGGCAATGTATTTTACCATGTACCACCATTCCTAGCAATTTGGAAAATTACCCATTAATCAACAATGCTTCTGACATTTGCAGTACACCTACTGGCCTCGAAGACGTCTCGAGATACCCCCAACTATTCGCAACTTTACTGGAGGATCCAACATGGACAGAGGAGGATATAAAGAAACTCGTCGGCCTCAATTTACTGAGAGTTTTTAGCAAAGTTGAGCAGGTAAGGTCATCGGTCTGGATCAAAGGCAAATGTGTTAGATTGACGGTCCTTGGAAATGGCCAGTTGCAAGCTTCTTCTGACGAATTACGTGAAAAAACAAGTAGGATATGCTGTTGTATTCGATATCATATAGTTTTTTTGCTGATGAATTAGCAACTCGCTCCCGAACCGTTATTGGCAATAAAAAGATAAATGGGTGGTCCCAGATGGTATGACCCTAGTGGGTCTTTTACCAACCCTTTCCCAGTACCTACGCGGTACCCTAACCTAATTCCCTACCCGCGCTTTTATCTAGCTACCTTATAACTAACTTCTACAGGCACTGGGTTCGTTTTCCGACGGTGAAAAATTTTTCACCATCGGGACTCGAACCTGCGCTACCGGGACGCTTTGGTCATAGGGCCAGCACGCTGACGACTAGCTCAAAGACGTCCTTTGTTATTCGCAATATATAATTGATATACCAATATACTGATTTTTCCCTTTTTTGTCAATTTTTTATCGAGATTGAGAATTCCACTTGTTTTAATCTTCAATAAAACATGCAACATCTAAGTATTGTTTTAGGAATTTGACATAAGTTTTTCTTTTCCTTTTCAATTGATTGTTGCGAATGTTCATCGAAAGAAAGATATCGACAAATTGTACCTATCACGTAATTTTACGTTATGAATTCAATTGCGGAATAGTGGATTCTTCTCACGTGGTAACAACTATGGCGGATAAAGTCAGGTTTTCATGTTGACGGATAACGATAATTCCCGTTGCTTTTGAATCAACAGTCAAGCTCTCATCTTCATACAATTATTATTAGCAAGACTCAAATCAAGAAACTATGAATTCATTGAAAAAAATATTGCCTGTTGACCGGTCCATGATTCGTACCAGAAATTTCAACCTCCGAGAAGGCAAATCGAAAGTATTATTCATGTGTACTTGTACTTATCATTCAGGGTTCACGTCTTCGTCACATTTATCGTGATTCTTTTTGATTAGTGTATCAGTTCAAATAAATTTGGGTTTTTTATGCCGAAAGGCTTTTTCCCATAATCTGGGTTTTTCCTCCATGTTGACGATAAGGCCAGCTGCCGTGCCACCTAAAGTATGACCGCTTGCAATATTTATTCTATTCTAGGTAGAGAGATTTACATTGTTATCATTACCATTTATATTGGTAATGATAATTAATTCCCTTCTAAGAGTTCTAGAACTGATTTATAAAACTAAATGACTGTATAATATTATTCACATTACTTTCGAATTAGGATGAGATATTGTTGTAGAAGAATTATCCATACCCAATGAAATGAAATGAAATCAAACATAACGAGTGCGAAGAATCCATCACAAAACTCACTTTCAAGAAAAATGACATAAAATTTTGAATTTGTAATGACGGTAATACATGTCAGATGACTAGTTACTGTTGGTATTGCTGGCACCGAAAGTGATGTTAAAAACTTTACATGAAATCCCTTTGAGCATAAAATTCCGAGATATGAATGAGATTTCAACACTGAAAAAAAAACAAATAAATAAACAACTATTGTCGCTATAGGTTCAAAAGACACTTGAGTGAATTTTCCAAGCCATCCAGGATTTGATTCAAACCAATTTTTTTTCAATCGAGGTCAAAATTCGAAATTCCAAAAAAAAAATTGAAAAATTGAAAAAAAAAAATTATACTAATCGAAACCAATTCGAATTAATGTCGATGGATAGAGCTCGATAGTGACTACATTAAGAAAAAAAGTTACTTGATTGCATGCATCAAGTAGCGCGCAGTTCAAAAGAATTTTTAAAAATTGAAAAAAACATTTGTCACATACATGCACACATAAATGCATACGTACGGACAGGGTCTAAAAATTGCATTTTCGAACTTTTTGGACCATAATGGATTAATCCAACACAAAAAAACTAAAACTTATTTCTGCGCGATTACAATGCTCCCGTTTCAGGAGTAATAAATGAAAATCTCGGTCAAATCTGTGCAATAACGATTTACTGACAAAATAGTTGTTAAATTTGAAATCGATATGATTGATATTGAATAGAAGTCAAATAGTGAGCTTCGGTCATTCGAATAGAGTTTTTCGGAGCAAAGCAATGAAAATGATATGCGTGAAACCCGTTACAGATAGATTGGCCAAATTCCAGAACGCCCGTCCATATTCAGCAAATATAAAGATGGTCACCATCATATTAGAAGCACATTTAAAGCTTCAGGCCAAAAGCCATCTGCCGTATGCTGCCGTTTTGATCTATAAATGCTGGGTGATTACAAAATGATGGGGGCTCGAAGATTCTAATTTGCCACGGCCTTGATAACTTTCATAAATGGATTACCGCAGTTTTCCATACTAACGTAGATTGAGCTCAGAAAGTTCTGGATCTGAATCATACTTCTAAATTATGTTTTGTTTCAATCAGCCAGAACTCCTCCATGGATTAGACGCACAGTTGTGCGATGGTGCCACCCTGGGCGTTTTGAGAAACCGCGTAAAGTCCTTTGGTCCCGACGCTTTTTTTGAACTGTTTTGGATTTGAATTATACAAGCTTGGCGTCCCCTTTCATTCCCAGCATTCTTTCAAACGAGTGGAGTTAACGAAATTGTGCAAAACACAATGCATTTGTCACGTGACATTTTCTAACGACCGAAAATGCCTATCAGCTTCGCCTTTCCTTCCTATAGCCTCCTCGCCTATACAAAAAAAAAATGGACAAAAATCGGAATCAGAAAAGATTGCCGGGCGCAAGCTAATTTTCCGGTGTCGAGGAATCAGCAACTCGAAACTTAAACTTAACGACAAGTCAGAAACGGAACTCTAAAATTTACTTAACCTAGGTCAGCGAAATGGTTAAGGAAGAGGTACAAGCTGTATGCGCTGCTCAGTGTGCTAGGTTGTAGAGAGAGGGGTGGATTCGGGGAAAACGGTCAAATTGTTCCAAACAAAATAAAAGGCTAGAGAACTCTATTGATGCTGCTCAAAACGAACTACTTTATTCAACGACCTCGACAAAGCTATCGGATTTTCGCCAGTTGATCGGGGTCAACGGTATGACCAACGGAACCCCCATTAATCCCGCGAGCCATCTGATGATGCTGGGGATTCCTCAATATAGTCCAGAGGCCCCGTAGAAATAATTACTTATAAATTTGTATCCGTGAACATCCTCCATCTAGTTCCGCGAAACCTGAAGGTAAGCTCGGCATTTTTCCAACAGTGATGGAACCCTAACCAATTCCCGCTCGAGTCATTAAAAGACCGAGGAATATCCTAAATGTTGAAGATGACCAATTAAAAGTATGCCAATCAGAGCGAGAGTAGAATACCCCGGAGAGAGGTAAATTCTCGGAGAGGCCCTGGAATAGGCGACGAGAGTAAAGGAGACAGATAGGAGTAAAGCGCGAGACAGGCAGCGCTGCGCTCAACGTACACGGCACACGTTATTAGAATTTTTCAACGGTGTTAATTTTAAACCGCCTCGACGGCGCGTCCGATTAATGCCGGGTAAACTCGACTACTGAGGGGGATAACTCGCGAACATTCTCCCAAAATTGAGCTCTCCCCCACGTACGGGGACCGAGGTATCTCCATTTTTCCGCAACGGGAATTTTCCACTGCCGTTGGGTCGGAGTTCTCGCTCAACGGTAAGCGGAGCAGAGTGGGAGACATACCCCAGGTTACGCTGATACGTACGTTATTCAAGGCCATTCGACACTAATCCTCGCATTCCACGAGGGTTTTCGGCGGTTTTGCTCGTAATTTTTGAAGGTTTGTACTGTCGCCGGATGATAATCATTTTTATCCTTCTTCGCGGCGCAACTAGACAACCCGACATGATTCCTCCTTCAATTAATTATTCCCCTAACCTAACCCTGAACTCCCAAAAACTTTCCCTACAGGAACCTCCCCTAAATTCTATCCGCACTAGGCGTAGCCTCCAGCCGATCCGAGAAAACTCGCGAGAATTCGATTATAAATTTAATTTTTTTTGTCTTTGTCTCCACAATTTATGGGACCACGAGTTGGCCGTGGTCCTCACTCTCTCTCGTGCTCGAAAGAATTGATGTATTTTTTTTTTTTTATTTTTACATTTTTCCTTTTCCTATTACCATTGTTACCATGGTTTGATAGGCGCCCCTTCGTCTTAGCCTTTAGCCTCTCCTACTATCCTCTCATTAGC